GTAGTATGTTCTTTTTCGTTGCTGTATACAATTTATTTATCAGTTCCACTGGTGATGAACATGTGAATGGTTTTTGGTTTTTAGGTATTACAAATAAAACTAATAAAACTTTATCTGTGTTCTTGTAAACAAAAACACTTATTTCTCATGGGCATTCCGTCCAGGAATGGAATTGCTAGGTTTTAGATAACATGCATATATAGCTTTATAAACCTTTAATAGATCTTATCACACAACTTTACAAAATGGAGTATCAACTTATTAACACACTCCCACCATCAATGTATAATTTAAATTGCAACATTTTTATTGTTGCTTGGCATTGCCATGTCTTTTAATTTTGTGGATTTGGGTATAGCAATATCTCATTGTCAAGAACTGTGAAGAATCTGTAAACTAACAAACTTCGATGCTGGAAAAAGATATGAAACTTCTGTGTCAGAGATGAAAGACAGTTATTACTCAGAGCAACAGCAGTAGCCAGAGGATCAACATTTGTGCCACTTCCCTGAGCCCTAATTCCCACAGGGCAATATAAGAGGTCTAGGTGACACCTGTACTTTTAGATGGTTGCATTATAAGAGAGGCAATCTGTGCCTACACATTAGTTTGCATTTTCTATGATTTTATACAAATGGAATCATATACTATATTTTTAAAATGTGGCTTCATTCAAAGAGTATATTTAGAGATTCATATATGTTACTGTGGTATCCATAATTTATTTCCCTCTATAGCTGAGTAGAATTCCATTGTATGGATACATAATTAATTTTTTTATCCACCTGTTGATGGGCATTTGGGATGTTCACAATTTTTGGTTATTACAAATAAAGTTGTTATGATCATCTATGTATGTATTTTTAAGAACATATGCTTTCATTTCTTTTGAATAAATCCCATTGATTTTTCCATCTCAGAACTCTCTTACATATATTATAATTAAATATAGTCATCCCTAGGTATCTGCAGGGAATTAGCTCCAGAACCCCTACTTGGATACCACAATCTGCAAATGCTCAAGTCCCTTTTAGTTGGCCATCCATATATGTGGGTGTGGAACCACAGATACAGAGGGTTGACTGATTATATATCACATATAGATATAATGTTATATGTAGAGATTTATATATAGATATGAAGAATCATAATAAGAAATATTAATCTTTGGAGAGAGACATTAGGTGTAGAGAGGAGAGGGGCTCTTACTTTTCCTTCCATATTTTTTGTTTACAGTAGTGTTAGCCTTATAGACAGTGAGAGGAAAAGCGTATCTGGCTTTTATAGGAATACAGGAGTCCTAGACATCATTTCATAAGCCCTACAGTTAGCATTTTTATAAGGTAAAATAATGAATCTTGAGATATGTCTGTTCGAGAAGAACAATCTTATGTTCTTTTCAATAAATTCCAAAGAGGTCAAGAGAAGATGAGAACAAACGCATTAAGAGACTTCACCACCACCACCAAAATGAAAATTCCTAAATTTGGAAATGAGGGCTCCAGACTCAAGCAGGTGACCAATTTACTATGTTCCACACTGAAGATGAGTCTAGCTAAGTGCATATTACAAAATCTTAAAAACAAAACAAAACGTAAGGGCAAATTTCAGCTTTTTTGTCTTTTTCAAATCCTTTTAGTGTCTTTGTTATCTAGTATCAGTATAGCTGAGTAACAATGTCCTCTCATGGAATTTTGATACACTTCTGATTCTCTATGTAATTCATGAAGTCATGTGAAACACATCATGAAACTTTTCATAAAGTCTAAAACAGTTTCTGTCCCTATGCACAGCTAACATGGTTTATGACCTGTACAGCTGGGACGTATAGCCGAGGGGTGAGTTGGGCCAAATGAATCCAATGCCAGGATAAGATTTCAGAATGAAGGTTGGGATTGCCCTTTTTAATAGGCTTTGTAGGCCACTACAATGTTAACTGTAGAACTTACGATCTCTGTTGCAACTACTGAACTCTGTTGTGGTAGAGCAAAGCAGCCGTAAGTAAATAAATGCGTGTGGTTTTGCTGCTATGAAACTTTATTTACAAAAACAGAGTGTGCCAAATCTGGCCCATGGGCCCTGGTTTGCTGACTACTATGTTAGAGAAACAGAAATATCTTAAGATCTCCATTTTCCCCCAAAACTATTACATTGCTAATTGAATAAAGGCTTCTGATTAACCACTGAAAAATATATATTGGCAGTTGTTAGCAGATAGTGATAAATGTTTATACGTTCCACATATTAAAGAGAACTACAGTTTATAATTTTGGAAGAAATAAGGTTCTGAGATACTAGTAAGTCCAGAATTGTTTTGTGGCTAGCTCATACTATCATTTCATATAGAGCTTACTTTCTCTAAATAAGCCCCACCTCCCACCTTTTTCTGAGTAATTTCTCCTGTGAGAAGACTATATCCTATAGTAAGATGAAGAAAATTACCATTAGATTTAGTAACCACATTGTCATTTTTGTTTAAAGCTGATATCACAGATTGGTTGCTTCATGCATACATTCATTCATTAGTTCACTCAACCAGCAACTATGGAGCATCTACTGGACTCTTCTCAGTTGCTAATGTCAAAAAGTAGTAGACTAACACATATACACAACAGCTGCACATAACACAAAGTAGACTGTTGCCAACACAAAAAGAGAAACATACGAAGTACTAGGAGAGCCTAGAAGCAGCAGCAATTACTTGCAGCTGGGAGATGATTGGAGAAGGTATTTGAGTTCAGCCTGGGAAGGTAGCTAGGGACTACATGGAGATGGTTTGGTAGTTGCCTCAGAGCTTATTACTGTCTGGTGGTTAGTTACATGTGGTCCTGATGGCTTTCTGAGACCAACAGCAAAATATTATACTATCCAGCTTGCCTTTTCCATTCTCTTCCCATGGTCTGTTCAGTTCTGGCACTGCTCTGAAGGTATAGGATACTACTAGGGAGAGAGCACTTGGCTAATAGGGAAGTAGAACAGTTTCTGGGTATACTTGGGGCTAAGGGAAGCCTGAGGAAGAGCCGAGTCACTTTTAAACAAATGACAAGGTCCTTGATTAACACAGTTAAAAAAGGTTCTAAGGGATATACATAAAACATAATCGGGAGTAAGTAGGAAGAAGACGGTAACACAGAATGTTAATGTTAAGTAGAGATCAAGACTCATACCCTGAATTAACATTGTTCATTCAGCCTGACTATGTAGTTCCACTCATTCAAACAAAGCTTCTCTGTCTTCTATTAAGTGTTCAGTGCCTTTCTCAGATAATAGAGCCAGAATTTTCTTAGAAATCATTGGAACTTAGGAAGTAAGTTGGGATGTACTATTATGGTTGGTAGTTTCATTTCCCTATTTATATTATGAGCAAGGATCTATGTGCTTCTTTTTGAAAAAGACTCAACTTGCCTGGAACTTCTCATAATTTATACCTGATATGGTTTGGATCTGTGTCCCTTCCCAAATCTCATGTCGAATTGTAATCCCCAGTGTTGGAAGCGACTGGCTCATGTGGTGGATTTCCCCTTTGCTGTTCTTCATTTAAAAGTGTGTGGAACCTCCCCCTCCCACTCTTCCTCCTGCTCTGGTCATGTGAGGTGCTTGTTCCACCCCCCACCAACCCCCCGACCGTGCCTTCTGCCATTATTGAAAGCTCTCTGAGGCCTCCTCAGAAGCCAAGCAGAAGCTGCTATGCTTCCTGTACAGCATGCAGAACCGTGATCCAGTTCAACCTCTTTTCTTTAAAAATCACTTGGTTTCAGGTATTTCTTTAGGACAGTGTAAAAATGGACTAACACAACAGCATAACAGGATTCCAATATGACACGGTAATTGAGAATCAACGTATTTAAAATGTCCTAGAATAAAAAATTTCCTGTCACTATATAAAAGTGAATAATCTTTAGAAATTAGTATTAAAATCTTCTGTAGTTACTCATCTTTAAGATGAGCCATTTCCCTATAATCATACCTGATGACAGATGCCGATGGGTATCCCAGAGAACAAAGAAGAGGTAGGAAAGGGCAATGGGAATGGCAAGAAGCATTACACTATCAGCTGTCAGTCTCGGGTAGTATCTTAATAGCAGTGTGAAAATGGACTGATACATTTTTTTTTTTTTAACCACTGAGTTTGCTAGTGGTGTCGCAGAGTTATTCTTTTTTTTTTTTTTTTG